TTCAGCCACTCTGCCCCCAACCTCTGGAATTCCATCCCCAATCACTCCGCCTCGCCCCTCCTTAGCCTCCTTCAAGTCCCGCCTCAAGACCCTCCTCTTCGACCAGGCCATCGGCCACCCCCTTCCCCTCCCCTCCCTTACCCCCCCTGACCCCAACTCGGGTCTGAAATGCTGTCACTGTCCAGCGCCTTGGGATGTCCTCCCGATGTGAAAGGCGCAAAACAAATGTAATCTTGTTGTTGTTTACATTTTGAGGTGTGTTATTTTGTACAGGCGTGTAAGGCCGTCCCCTTCAGAGCAAGTTGACTGAGGTGGCAAACATTTCTCAAAATCAATAGTGAGTCGCTGTTTTTATGAGGGTTTAGAATAGCCATCTGGCTTGAGCTGGAGTAAAGATGAGATCTAAATACACATAACTTGTCTTCAGAGTGATATTAGCTGAAAATGATCTATTTTTATTTCCCCTGTAATTGTGTACAATCTTGTTTATCTATCAACCTTGTTAATCCATCAGAATCCGATGGTGTTTGCACATATAACCAGTTCACACGACCCTATCTATACCTTTTTNAAAATCCATGGAGCCAGAAACTATATAATGCCTCTAGTGGCACTGTTTATTGCCACCATTTCTAAGAGAACAGAATACTCATTTTGTAATGATAGATATTTCTCAAGTTTTTCCATTGTTCAGCAGCTCATCCAGAAAACACTAAAGCATGATTATGTTACCATAAATATGACACTTCTAAATATTTTGCTGAGTATAATCTTTCTAATATGTCTCAACTGTTAACATATCTTCAAAGATTTAACAAGGAGTAAATTTCTGTTTCAAAAGTACAGCAAAAATGTTTTAAACTAGAAATGAAATCAATACACATTTTTACTGAAATTACAACATAGGTTGGTTCTCAGCATCTAGTGAATTTGATTTTTTTTTGATGTGTTTATTCTACATCCCCGACTCAAAACTAGGACAGGGATTAAAGGGTGTCAGATTACCGTGTAAGGCATGGACTGCCCAGTGCTTGGGGGAAGGGGTGTTCTGGATAAATGCTGGGATTTGGATTCCAATTCCAACCACACCAGCTTCTCTCAATGCCATTTTGTTTGGAATCTGGTTTAAACCAGCTTGGTGAGCTTTGCCCAGTTTACATTGTGTGTTTTAAAGCTGGTTGCAAATTATCAACAAATCAAAATAAATACTATCAAAATAGTTCGTCTTCCATGGATTTGTGCAATGATTCTTCGCATACTGAAACAATTCCTTTTGTTCTATAGCAACCATCTTTACAAAGTTTGGCATGTTTAATGTTTTATTATCAGATTTTTATTCTGTTATGAAATGTTTTATCTGGAAGTTGTTTGTTCAGACTGAATTAACAGCTGGTTTGAAGGTCAGATTGCGAGTTTTCATTTAATTTGTCTGTAAATCAGCACTGTTGAGCTTACTATATTTTTGCCTGAATTCGTAATCTATCTTGGTCACATGAAATATATACAGTTTAAATTAGAGCACACATTGAGTATTGCAAAAAGATTTTTAATTTTATCCTTCTGTAAGATGAAATCTTTTGCAATTTTTTAAATTATTGTTCAATACCTGAATTGATAAGAGCATTAACTCTCACCGATCTTTGTGAAAGGCAGCCCAATGCTAGGTGTAGAAATAATATAATAATAATAATCCTTGCATTTGATATAGCATTTTTCACGTCTTCTAGACGTCTCAAAGCGCTTCACAGAACATACTGTAAAGTGAATTGACTGTATATATGTGGGCGAAACACAGCAGCCAATTGTGCACAGCAGTGTCCCACAAACAGTCGTGGATTGAAATAATCAATTTATTATTTTCTTGAGGGATTATTATTAGACATTTGGAGTAAAGAAACTTGCCCAAGGTTTCACCCTGCCTGGAATTGACCCTAATTGAATTGAAATTAGTGATTGAAATCCAGAAAAATATCATCACATGTATGATTACATGCTTTTTTATTACACTTTATAATAATTTATAATATAATTTATAAAAATACAGAATTTTTCAGGAGGGAGCAAGCCTATTCAGCCCATCGAGTCTTGTGTCACTACTACCTGACTGTTTACAATTAAATCACGTGTATCGGTGAGCATACCTGCCAGTGTGAGCAAAGTAAATACAATCTGGGGTGTGTTTGGTACATAAAAGATCCTCAGACTAAAAGTTCAAGGAACTGATGCTGACACGTCATGAGACATTAGTGAATTAGACCACACACGGAGTAGAGGGTTCAGTTGTAGCCAGCAAACATAAAAAAAGGATATAGATGCAGTGAAAAGATAAGGATTCAGAGGACAACAATGATGACCAAGATAATTAAGGTATGACGAGAGGCTAAGGACAATGTTTCCTTTAAAAGAAGGTTTTGGTTGTGGGGGGCTGGCGACAACAATGTGAGGCAAGTTTGTAAAACAAATAAGGCTGAAGTATTATTATAATTATTATTATTACATACAGTTGTAATTTATACAAAACTAAGCAAGACAATTGGAAACCGTGATGATAGGGTAAAAGAAGCCAGAAGCTAAATTTACCCCAAAGAATAATTTTCTTATGCATAAGAGTTGTTGAGTTGTAGAATTGACTGCCAGCTAGTGTGGCAAATATTTGACTCGCTTGATGCATTTAAAAAAAATTTGGTTCCCAGAACCAGCTAAGAGTCGTGAGGGGGTGCTAGAGGGAGGACAGGAAAAATGTCAGATTATCTCTTGAAATAGAACCTGGTAATGGGACAAACTGCACAGATTAAATATGCTTTTTGTTGCTATATGGCTGCTAAACACACAATATTTGTACCTTTTCATATTAGGACCAATATCACAACGTTCCCAGATCACTTTGTGATATACTAGTTTCCACAGGACTCTTTTCCCCCTGATGTATCTCATTTGAAGAGTGGTGGCCAAAAACAGAATGTATTATAAGGGATCCGACTACATTGAAATCACACCTCATCCTCCACTTAACATCGATGAATTCCCTTTATTGATGGGAGGGCCAGTTCAACCCATTTGTTTCCCATGTCATTTGTTCGTCACAGCAGTCAAGCTGGCACATAAATACCTGGAGCTAAGGGTAGTTTGACAATTCCTGCATCACTTTTTAAAGGCCAGCTATAGGACAATTTAATAGTCCTTGGTCAAACAATACAGTCATTGAAGAATGCATCAATAAACCAGGGGAAAAAGCAAAAGATTTTATGAATTTAAACAGGTTGCCGATGACCCATAAGTGCGACCTCCATCTAGTGCTAGTGAATGAGATCAACATGCTGTGTGGATACAACTGTAGAAATTCAACCTGTATTTCCACGCTATGTGGAATTCCAGTGCTATAATTCAAGAAATAGGTGGCTTTTATCAATGCTTCAAGGGCTAGTAAACTATGATGACACAGTAACCTCATTCCCTTCAAATGCTTATGGGCAGACACCCCTGTGTTCCCTAACTAACCTAAATGTAGATATAAGTAAACAGGTGAAACGTCAGGATTTAGGACCGACAGGTGACTGTTTTTAGCACACTTCTAAGCATTCCTACCTTCTCAGCAACTAAAGCAAATAGTAATTTAGTGAGCAGAAAGAAATAAAGATTAATTTAACTTGTTAAGGCCATTAAACCCAAATTCCTGCAGCATTCCCTAGCTTAGAATGTGCATGAAAAACTGAGGATTTGACTTCAAACTATGCCTGGAGTTAGTGGCAATGGCTTATGTGTGAATGGTAGTGAATTGTACATTATTCTGACTGAAAGCACAAATACCAGATTTACCTGAAGGAGGGAGATCTGTGAGCTCATAAGCATGAGCAAGTAGTGAATCTCCTACAGTGTTAAAGAATGGTCAAAGAAGAAGGACTTGAGGGAGACCGTAAAGGAGGCATTTGGATTCTGGGATGAAGTTACAGGGGTGGGACAAGAAGGCTGAAAGCCTGACCACTGATGATAGGGTGGGCGGGGTAGGGGACGTGGGTATAGGGAGCAGGCGGATTGGTAAGGTTTTAGAAGGTCACAGAGATAGAGTGGAGCAAGACCATGGAGGGATTTAAAAAGGAGGATGAGGATCTTGTATTCAGTCCTCTGAGGGATAGGAAACCAGTGGAGCTGGGCTCGGGTGGGTGGGATAGGCTCGCGGAGAAGAGGACACGAGCTGCAGAGTTCTAATAGTCTACAACTTGTGGGGGGAAGAGTTGGAAAGTCCAGTGAGCTGAGAATTGGATAGTCTAGTTTTGACATGATGAAAGCTTGGATAAAGGGTCTTGATGGCACGAGTGGAGAGGTAATGGCGATGGCGGGCAATGTTTTGGAAGTGGAGGAATCTAAAAGGGTCACAGTATGGATGTAGAGTTTAGAGGACAGTATAATCTGTGTCCTACATTAAACGTTCACTCCTCAAATAGGATACAAATGCATCCAGCCCCTGGCAGAGTGGTTGGTGCAACTGTGGCTGAGTCTCACTACTTCATACCCTGAACCTCCCTTTTGAGAAGAAATCATGGAAACAGAACAATGACAAGCCATCATCAAGTGCCTGCACAGCTCAATCTCCTGTGAGGTCGCGGCAACTACAAATGTGGCCAGCCCTTTCTCCTTGATTTAATAAAGGGCGTCTACTCTTTTTCCTCTCCGTGCCCCCAGTTTTCCCCATAGCAAATGTTTGTGTAACGTGTGTGTGTGTGTGTGTATATATTATATATATGCTGTGTGGATACAACTGCAGAAATTCAACCTGTATTTCCATGCTATGTGGAAATCCAGAAATTAGTGGTTTTCATTGATGCTTTGAGGGCTAGTAAACTATGATGACACAGTCACATATATTATATTTATTAATAATATAATATATACAAAATTAAATGTGAGAATTACCATTAATGTTCTCAGAATACATTTACATGTTAATATTCTGTACTTCAGTAGCTCAGGATCTATTTAATTCTCATTTTTTTTTCTTTCAGATGATCGCACTGATCAGCGAACCTGCCTTATCTGTGGAGACAGAGCTACAGGTCTGCACTATGGCATTATTTCATGTGAGGGCTGCAAAGGCTTCTTCAAGCGCAGTATTTGCAACAAACGGGTTTACAGATGCAGTCGAGACAAGAACTGTGTCATGTCACGCAAGCAACGGAACAGATGTCAGTATTGCCGGCTGCTTAAGTGTCTCCAGATGGGCATGAACCGAAAAGGTACAACAGAAATCCATGTACATTTATAACAATTAGCCATTTTCACAATCTTTGATCAGATTAGAACCAAAAATAAGTCCTGGCCTTAGAAATACTAAGGTATTGGGGAAAAATCAAAGTTGGTGAAGAAGGCTTATGTTCGAATAAGCTCCACCCTCAGTGGCTGGGTTTTCAGCCACTATGCCCCGAGGCTCTGGAACTCCTTTCCTCACTCCCTTCGCCTCGCCCCCTCTCTTCCTATTTTCAGGTCTCGGCTGAAGACCTTTCTTTTCGACCGTGCCTTTGGTCACCTTCCTCCCCCTCCCCCTGGTTCAGCCCCGGGATCCATTACTGTGAAGCGCTCCGAGAAACCGTCCGGGGTGGAGGGCGCTATATAAATCCAAGTTGTTGTTGTTGTACGCTTTCCAGTGTCCATAGATTTCTCCATAAGTTTAAATATATTAGAGCTTTTCAGAATGCTTAGTAAAAGATGATTATTACACAGGGTTAGGATTCGAACACGAGAGTGAGGATCTTGAAGTTGATCCATTTAGTAATGGGGAGCCTGTGGAGCCTGGGCCAGAACTGGTGAGATGTGGGTACGGCGTTTTCTCTGGGTCATTATGCGGGCGGCAGAGTATTGAATTAGCTGATCTTTTGAATGGTGGAGTTGGGGAGTGTGTTGGAGTAATCCAGGCAGGAGGCGACGAACGCATGCACGAGGGTTTTGGCTGTATTTGGGGTAAGGTACAGTTGGAGGCGGGCAATGTGGCAGAGGTGAAAAAAGGTGGTCCTGGTCAGGAACTGGATTTGGGGGAGGAAGGACAGTGGGAGTTGAACCGGACGTCCAGTTTGCGCAATGGTTCGGTGAGTCTGAGGGAGAGCCCAGGGAGGTTTCGGAGTTTAGATCCGCAGGAGTGAAGATGTTGATGGGAGCCAAGGAGTATGGCTTCTGTCTTGTCCATATTCAGCTGCAGGAAGTTTACACTCATCCAGGCCTCAATGTCTGCCAGACAAGCTGATAGAACATCGGGGACCTGGAGTTGGTGCTGGAGGAGGCAAAGTAGATTTGTGTGTCATCCGCAAACATGTGGAAGTTTACCCTGTGTCTGCGGATGCCATCGCCCAGAGGGAGCATATAGATGAGGAAAAGAAGAGGGTAAGGATGGAGCCCTGGGGTACCCGCAGGTGACTGGGCGGGGGCGGGAGGAGAAACCATTTGCTGGGATGAAATGGAGGCGGTTTGTTAAGTAGAACTTGAACCATGTGAGTGTGGTCCCACTCAGGCAGATGAGAGAGGAGAGCCGGGTCGACTGTGTTGAACGCGGCAGAGAGATCCAGGAGGACAAGGAGGCAGAGGGAGCCCTGGTCACAGATAGAGAGAATGTCATTTGTGACTTTGACAAGTGCTGTCTCTGTGCTGTGGGCAGTCGGGGCGGAAACCAGACTTCAGGGGCTCGAGGAGGGAGTGGAGGGAGAGGTGTGACCCAAGTTGACCTGCAACAATGCATTCCAGGACTTTGGCAAGGAAGGGTAGGTTGGAGATGGGATGGTAGTGTGAGAGATTAGAGGGATCGAAGGTGGGGTTTTTAAGGAGGGGGGTGACAACAGCGGTTTTCAGAGGGAGTGGATCAGAGCCTGAGGAGAGAAACTGGTTGACCATGTTGGCCAGCAGGGGGGAGAGAAGGGGTAGTTGAGTGACCAGCAGCTCGGTGGGGAGGGGGTCAAGGTAGCAGGTAGTGAACTTCATGCGGGTGATTGTGGTTGAGTGAGAGGAGGGAGAAATGGGGGCAAAGGAGTGTAAGGAGAGGGGAGTGGCAGGAGTCGCAGTGGAGGGAGAAGGTGGTGTAGACAGTCTGGGTGGGGTAGAAGGGACATGGGGTGGGAGGATGATGCAGCCAAGCAGGTTTTTGAGGCCAAGAAGTCTAGGACCTCTTTGCACTTGGTGTTTGATGTGAGGGTCGAGGGGGCTTGAGGGGGTGCACGGAGGAGGTGATGGACGGTGGAAAACAGGTCTTTGGATCATTGTTTGCCTCCAGGATGACTTTGGAGTAAAAGTCAGTTTTGGCCTGAAAGGGGGTGTGGAGGTGCTCGAGCCACAGCTGGCGGTGAATCGTGAAGCCAGATTTCTGACATCTGTCAAATGATGCAATTTCATGATGAATTGGAGTCTAAATGTGGGATTTCTCGTAGAAGGAATAGGAGCTGTGCAGATTGTAATATGGTAAATTTGAAAAAGGTTACCCCAACCGACTCTCTGCTTTATTTTCAGAGCAGTTGTTATGATTTCTGTCACATTCCTTTTCAAGGTTTCCTGCTGGAAATCCCACATTTGTTTCTTCAAAGTCTGTTTATGAGCAGTTTTAGTCTACGTAAAAGTGCTTCTGGACTAGATTACCTTAGACTGTATGAGTATGTTTGTAAAAAGAGACTTGCTGTTTGTTCTGACTTGCTGCTGAAGATCTTTAAGAGTCTGGCCAGCGATTATTTATGTTGAACATTACAAACTAAGCTAAAGCTACAGAATGCAAACTATTTAACAAGAAATGAACACTGAAATTTCTGCTTTTGTGTAGTAACATTGGTAAGGAAGCTTCCTGTAGGAGCATTCTGCTGTGTAACCTGAAAGGATTGTGTGTTCGAAGGGTCATGGCCAGCATTCTTGCCCCAGGTGATTTTGCAGATCAAGATTATTATCTGTCATGTTCCAGTATTTCTTTAGGAACTGATTGTTTTCTTTCAAGACAAAACTAGCTAAAAGCATGGTAATTGTTCAGATCCGCTTAATTGCTGTTGATCTTTGCGCACCAACTTTTCGTTTATCCCAGTAAAACGAGTTTTACTCCTGAACTCATTTTCAGCTTAGTACAGGATAGGGGCAGATTTCATGGTAGCTTTTGTGCAATTCATTTCAACCATTCCTTTTATTTACAGCTATTTTGCTGTACATGAGGTCAGCATTATGTACTGTGTGCTGCATCTGCTCGTTCCATCATTTGCATGGCAGGTGTTGTAAAGGAAGATAAAAACAAACTGTTTAAAAAAGAATTATCCTGTTCTGTCCTTAAGAAATGACAGCATCAGGGGGATTGCAGAAACAAAGCAGCAGCAGCCAAACACATTCAATTCACGGACCTCGGATAGGACACACTTGAGAATTCTTGCAACACACTGGGATTATCCTCTTACGTTTCTTTCAAAAGTCAACTCTTAAGCATCCTTTTGTTGGAAGCCTAATTTGGATTCTGAAGTAAATAGCTCAATAGTACTGAGGAGATTGAAAAAGGCTTCTCCCCCCAACCTTTATCTCTTCTTAAGGTTACCAGTTCTTCTCCAGTGGGAAAATGAGTTGAGTCAAACATTTTGGATCCAACCCTTTTCGCCATTCAGAAATTTCCTTTGTACATTGGATAACCATCTCCTTTTGTAAATAGCTATATTTGATAGAAGAATGATAGATGAAACAGCAAATTTTGTGAGTTTCATCACTGACTGATCTCTATGGTTTAGAGGTCTATATTCATCTCTGCTGCTCAAATGCCCTAGTTTTCCCTAAAACTCAATTAGTGGTTTTAGTTACTGCAGTTTACCATTTGTGTTTACAAAAATTATTTACCTTAGGTCCGTAACTCTGTCCAGTGCCTTGGGACGTCCTCCCGACATGAAATGCGCTATATAAATGTAATTTTGTTGTTGTGTTCTGAAAACAAAGTGAATGGGACATAGACACCATTTTTATTTTGGGAAAATGTAATCGTAGAGATATATCATATCCATAACAAAAAATCTGATAAAATCTGACAGAGGAATCAGTAAACATTTAAAAACAAGCTGTTTTTCTTTGGCTCAGCCAGGTATCTGACATAACGGTTAAAAAAAATATCAACATGCTTAAGAGTCTCTTAAACCAAACTACTGAGAGTTCCACATATGTATGATTTGTTTAGTATGGAGATCACGGTCTCTAATCCAGGCGGAAGCACTTTGCTTAACTATGCTTGGAGAATTTAGGCGCAAGTTGGCAAAAGCCAAGGCTTGAGTATTCCAGGGAGTGCACTGACGTTCCACTGAGTTTAACTGCACTGGGTATCATTGCAGACCGCTTCCACTGTTTGTCCAACTAGAACCACCCTACCTGTAGGGGCTTTGGTCTGAAGCCAAGTGGAAAGAATCCCAGCCTCCAGAGACTGATCTGCTCCTCAAAGACCTACCAAGGAGACCGGCTGGCTGGTCTATCAGGAACAGCGCCCTGCAGAATTGGGCAGCTCAGATATCAGGCTATTAAGATTTTACAGAGGATTGACTTGATTCCGATCTCTCAATGCCAGGCGGGTCACCTTGGAGCCAACACATTTCCACCATCACAAATATTAATCTTTTTATATTTCACATATTATACATTCAGTGGTAATATTGATGAAGTAAAAAATGCTACATTACTAAATCTATTAATGCTGTTACTCATTACATAAATTTGCTCAATACATTGCGGAGGCTGACTACACACTTTTTTTAATGGTCAGCAAGACCGAGGCCCTCCTGATTGGCTCGCGCCAGCGCCTCCGCACCTCAGGCGCTGGCAGCATCAGCCTCCATGGCTGCACACTCAACCTCACTAAGCCCGTCAGAAACCTGGGTGTCTTGTTTGACCAGGCTCCGCGACCCCATCACTCCCACCCTCCACCCTCGCCTGATTCTACTGGCTCCCCATCCCCCAGAGGATCGAGATCAAGATCCTCGTCCTCACCTTTAAGGCCATCTGTAGCCTTGCCCCCTCCTACCTTTCTGACCTGCTGACTCCCTATCAACCTGCCCGCTCCCTCTGTTCATCAAGCTCCGGCTGCTCCATGTCTCCCACCCGACCCGCCCTACCATCGGTGGCCGGGCTTCTCTGCCCTCACACTCTGGAACTCCATCCCATGGTCCCTTTGCCTCGCTTTCTCCCTTGCCTCCTTCAAGGCCGGCCTCAAGACTCTTCTCTTCGACCGTGCCTTTGGTCTCCCTCCCACCTCTCTGCCTTC